GTCAAACAAGCCTAGCAATTCCTCCTACCGTCTTTCTAAATCCCCTCAACGGCTAAACGCGCCTGGACGATCTAAGTCCAACACACGTTCTCTCAAAAATCCTGACTGGTGTTGGTATCACAACACCTATGGCCAGGAAGCGAAATGTTGTCGAAAACCTTGTGATTTCGGCAAAGCCTCCAAGTCGGTGGGAAACTATCCCGCCGGCACGCGTTAGCGGCAACCGTCGCCGGTAGCACTAGGCGCTTACTTTACATCCATGATGTAATGAGCCAGACTAGATATCTAGTCGACACAGACGCCAAAGTCAGCGTCCTTCCTGCTACAGCAGCAGATCGACAGAAGGATCCTAACTTCAACCTACAGGCTGCAAATGGAAAACCAATTGCAACCTATGATCGGAAATACGTCTATCTGAACGTAGGTTTACGCAAACCTATTCGGTGGATTTTCCTAACTGCTGACGTCACAATGCCCATCATTGGCACGGACCTACTTAATCATTATGATTTGCTCGTAGACGTCCGCCGTAAACGACTAGTTGACAACACTACTAGTCTGTCTATCAAAGGCATAACTTACGTAGGCCCCAGCTTGTCAATCGTTAAGATGAAAGCAATCCTCGATCCAACTTTTCAACCGATTGTTGACAAATATCCGGAACTCAATTGCCCATCTAACGACCTCCCGTGTATAACCAGCAATGTTATGCACCACATCATAACCTCAGGACAGCCCGTGACATCTAAAGCACGACGACTGGCCCCTGACAAACTGAGAATTGCCAGAAACGAATTCGATCATATGCTCACCCTTGGCATCATTCGGCCATCGAATAGTCCATGGGCATCCCCATTGCATATGGTACCGAAAAAGGATATCAACGATTGGCGACCCACTGGTGATTACCGGCGAGTGAACGCCAAAACAACCCCTGATTGCTACCCTTTGCCTCACATACACGACTTGGCGGCAACGTTATCTGGAGCATCTATATTCTCAAAAATCGACTTGATTAAAGCGTATAACCAAATTCCGATGGCAACGGAAGATATTCCGAAAACGGCTATCATCACGCCTTTCGGACTTTTCGAATTCCTACGTATGCCATTTGGCCTCCGGAATGCGGCCCAAACATTCCAACGCTTCATCGATGAAGTATTTCGCGGTCTCGGCTTTGTATATGCATACTTAGACGACTGCCTCATTGCCAGTCCAGATAAGGAAACTCACCTTAGACACTTGGACTTGGCATTTGAAAGGTTACGCCGACATGGCGTTACCATCAATATACAGAAGTGTCAAATAGGCGTTGACTCACTCGATTTTCTGGGTCACACTATTGACTGTCAGGGCATCCGCCCACTGGCTACTAAAGTCGAAGCGATACTAAACTTTCCGGAGCCAAAGACAGTGAAAAGTCTTCGCACTTTTAACGGCTTGGAAAGTTATTACCGACGTTTTATTCCTAATTGTGCTTCTCTGATTCAGCCATTAACAGATCTCCTTCGAGGGAACAACAAGTCTATCGACCTCAACACCTCTTCTCGACATGCCTTTACTCAGGCAAAAAAGCTATTCCGGATGCCACACTGCTATGTATGTGAATATGAGGACCTTGTAGACTACGAGCGAATCTAACTAATGCGCTGGCTAATCTGTCCTAATCGCACGTCAACAACAACAACAATACCGCCGGGCACGCAAGACAAAGGAAAAAAAGACTGGACGTTGATACGAGAGCTTTTACTGTCTCTAACAGCAGTCGAAATGTTAAACAACAACTCCGTATTTATACAGTTAGGAAAATCAATGTCACATTTTAAAAATATTAACAAACCATGGGAATTCAGTAATTAAAATCAATAATCACGTAGATGCGTGAAATCAATGATTATGCTAGTGTGTGAAATAAATAATGAATATTAATGATTCACCTGTGTATATATTACCTCCCCCTTTTAAAAAAGAATCTTGCAACCAGTTTAGTATCTTTTTTCCTTGGGGTCGATTTGGAAATGAACTGTTTGTGTTCGTTTGCGCTGGGATCGTCGGCTGGGTAGCATCTCTTGTTTTGCTTCTGGTTTGACTGGTGGTATTTTGAAAGTTTCCAGTAGTAAATCCAGTGGCAATTTAGGTTCTTGGGATGTAGTATATCGACGTCGTATCTGATTTTTATGTCTTATCCACCATTCATCCCCAACTTTAACCTTGTACATTAGAGTTCCATGTCGACATTCTATCAAGCCTTCGGCCCATTTACTGTTCCTCGGTCGATAATCGCGCACATAGACGGCATCACCCTTGCGGTAATACTTCAGACTATTTCTTCGTTGATGTGACGAAGATGGTAACATGGAGTGGTGATGAGTTCGTAGCATTCGACCCATTAGAAGTTCTGCAGGGCTTTACTTCTGTTCTGCCAGTGGTGTAGTTCGGTATACAAAAAGAAAGTTTTGTATTGCTTCCGGTTTCGCCCCTCCCCCTGCTTTCAACAACGCTCGTTTGAAAGTGTCGACAAATCTTTCTGCCTGACCGTTGGATTGAGGGTGATAAGGTGGCGTCCGCACGTGTTTTATACCGTTTCTCTTGCAAAATTCCTGGAACACTTGTGAGGTGAACTGACTGCCGTTGTCAGATACGATGATTTCTGGTATACCGTGACATGCGAAGATCTTTTCCAGGACTGATACTGTTCTGCTGCTAGAAGGTGGTGTCACTTGTACTACCTCCGGCCATTTTGAGTAAGAGTCCACGAGGACCAAGTAGTATATACCTTCTATCGGCCCAGCAAAATCTACATGTAGGCGGGACCATGGTTTTGACGTGGGCCATGCTCTCGGTGGCGGATCTTTGGCTGCCATGACAGACATCACTTTCAGTTTTTGAGCAGAGCCTCTCTTACTGGAGCTAACAGTTGCTACTTTGTTGCTACCAGACATCGAAGCACTTTTGGCGCAGCCATACTCACTATGACGATTCGAAGTTGGTTTTTCATTAATCACGACATTCTTTATACTGGGTTTAGGTCTAATATATCTGTTTCTCATTTCTGGCTTTCTTGTTGAGGGCTCAATACTTTCGATCTTATGGCATACACTGCTTAACGGAATCTCTGACAGGTACAGCTTCTCGAACCAGTCTAAACCCAAGAGGTCAAGGTTTGAATTGTTGATGTAGCATGTGCCGACGAAATGATTGTCGCGAAAACCAACGCTGCATTTAATTTCTCCATTCAATCGAAGTCTTCCACCACATGCACTAATTGCTATCTGATTTGTCTTCTCTATGGCAGGGCATCCCAACTTCTGCCACAATTTCTTTGATATTATTGTAATATCGGATGCTGTGTCGATTTGTAGGCGTGCCGGCCGTGTATTAATCGTCAGATTGATATATTTGCGAGGTGCTGGAGTACTAATATGATATGTGGCAGTAACACCCAAAGACTTGAGCTTGTTGCGCCGTCTGGGTCGGTTGTTGCGTTTGCAGTAGCCATCTTTGTGACCAACAGTATGGCATCGGCGGCATTTATGCTGTTTGAATGGGCACAAGTTTGCAAAATGCCAGGAACCACAGTGCCAGCAGGCTGATGGTGGTTTATGCTGAGGATGACGCGGTGCGGTTGATGTCGACGGTACTGGATGCACCGCATGCACTTCTGCTGCATTTTGGCTACTAGACTGCACCAAGGCGGTATCGTTATGAATGTTGATTAAACGCTGATATTCTTCACCGACGTCTTTCAAAGTCATTCGTGGATCTTGTTCCAGACGATCTAATAGACGTGTGCGTATATCAGCAAATTTGGGAGACTGCAAACCACAAATGAAAATCAATACCTTGAACTGGTCTTCTGAGAGCGATTTCAATTTAAAACGTTCACACGTGCGATTGACTATACCCAACTGAGTATGGATATCATCATTTTCGTTCAGAGATAGTTTCATGCAATGATATCGAATGTTGAATAACGATCTCTGATCACCAAACTGATGACGAAGGGTATGGACAGTTTCATCGAATGATCTTTCATTGGGCTTCTGTGGCAGAATTAAGTTGCAGTATTTATCCAGCTCATCTGCTCCCAATTTACGAAGAAGAAGCCGTACTTTCCAGGCATCATCTTTGTCCGCAAAGTCTACTCGAAATAGGTCTTCATATCTGCGAAACCAGGTATCAAAAGTCACGTTCGCATCTGGATCACAAACGAATTCTGAGATGCTGCTACCAATGCTGTCGTTGGCTGAAGATGAATTGGCAGAGCGTGATATCTGTAGACCAGCAAGCATTTCCATCAATTTTAGCTGCTGTTCCATTAGTTTCTCTAAACGCAGTGGGTCCATCTTCAGCAAACCCGTTGCCAAATTTGTTATGTATGTGAATATGAGGACCTTGTAGACTACGAGCGAATCTAACTAATGCGCTGGCTAATCTGTCCTAATCGCACGTCAACAACAACAACAATACCGCCGGGCACGCAAGACAAAGGAAAAAAAGACTGGACGTTGATACGAGAGCTTTTACTGTCTCTAACAGCAGTCAAAATGTTAAACAACAACTCCGTATTTATACAGTTAGGAAAATCAATGTCACATTTTAAAAATATTAACAAACCATGGGAATTCAGTAATTAAAATCAATAATCACGTAGATTCGTGAAATCAATGATTATGCTAGTGTGTGAAATAAATAATGAATATTAATGATTCACCTGTGTATATATTACCTCCCCCTTTTAAAAAAGAATCTTGCAACCAGTTTAGTATCTTTTTTCCTTGGGGTCGATTTGGAAATGAACTGTTTGTGTTCGTTTGCGCTGGGATCGTCGGCTGGGTAGCATCTCTTGTTTTGCTTCTGGTTTGACTGGTGGTATTTTGAAAGTTTCCAGTAGTAAATCCAGTGGCAATTTAGGTTCTTGGGATGTAGTATATCGACGTCGTATCTGATTTTTATGTCTTATCCACCATTCATCCCCAACTTTAACCTTGTACATTAGAGTTCCATGTCGACATTCTATCAAGATCATGGTACGCGGTACGTCCAACGTTTGCGTTACATTTTTGCGTGATTCGTTACATAAAATTTATCTTGTTGTAATCCTTGCACAAGTCCTCTACTACTTCCATACCTATAACTATTAATTCTCATATCAAATAGTTATGGTTAACCAAAGTAGAAAGCAGCGAACTCAATCCCCCGTAAAACTGATGACTAATTTTAAGTCGTTGATTGCTACATCAAGCAACATACTTCCTACAAATGGGTATAGTGAGCCACAAAACTCACTTGTATGTCGTAAGCGTCGACCTGAAACTGAGGATGAAACTGTACTGATAGCTAGTATTAGCACTACTCCCAAAAATTCAGTACTCTCTGCTCATACAGAAACCCTCCCTACACCTTATGTGCTTATCGAAAAGCTCCAGCCTTCAAGCTCTGTTTCAGTACTATCTTCAGAAATAGAACTTCTAAAGTTGTCTATAGGAGAACTTAAGGCCGAGTTAAGGGACTTAAAAAACAATAAGTCAGTAGATCCTGGAATTTCCGATACCAATACCAAAATCTCCAATTTATCAGGTCAGATCAGTGATATCAGACTGCAGGTCTGTGAACTGACACCTTTAACTATTCTCATGAAAACTGTAGACCTTAACAAACTTGACAGTGAATCGATATCTAAGGTGGATAACCTAATTAACTTTGTTACTACAGAAGTAACAAAACGACTAGATGCTAAATTAAATGCTATTGTCTACAACGTTCCGGATAATGAGGCACTAAAAAAGGTACAGCGCATCCTACTTAGTGAGGCGAAAATGCCCAACTCCAAGACTAAGTGCTACAGGCTGAAGAAGAGTCAACATGAAAAGTGTTGTCCTATTCGTTTTCAGTTCGAAACACCTGCTGAGGCCAGAAAATTTATCCACTCCCAACACACCCCACTGCAAGCCAGAAATTATAAACTAGTAAAGGTTGCGGTGGACAAGACCGTCATAGAAAGGCGCGTATATAATTATCACACTGAGTCTAACTGTGGAATAAACAATAGGACATTGCAAGCAGCAATTATACCCAACCCTTTGAGAGATACCGTAGAATCCACCGCACCACCCCTCTCTAACCACACAGAATTATCTTCTCAGAGAGCGACACCAACCGAAAGGCCGCTAAATTGTAATCAAATAGCCAATAAAACTATACCACCTACCACCGTAGATTTAGACATGTCACTAAATAATCCAAGAAAAAAAGTCAAAATCCCCCGAAAGTTGACCAAATCCTCTCCTAGCCATAAGTCCATTGGTAAAAAAGAGAAGAATATGACCCCAAATCATGCCAACAACAATGGCAGTATAAGTAAGCCCACATTCCCCACGGTCAATAGCATTGGCACCCACAATGTGCGAAATAGCGCCACGGCCCACACTGATAGCCAACGCCCAAACAATGCCACCCTCAAGAGTACAAGTGACAATAGTCAGAACTCGACCACCAACAACTCAGGGCATTCACAGTATGGCACGCTAATAAATTTTGATCGGATATACGGTACAAGTCTGCTGGGAACTAACCCACAAAGCAGTACATTCGAAACCCTTACAAGAACACCACTAGTACCTAACAATAGGTGGAATAATAGACCATGGTCTTCACAAGGTCCCAATCATTTTTTATCCCCTGCGTCCCTGTCAGCGTTGAAAAAACAGCTGGTAGGGATGCTAACACTCCTAAACCACTAGTGCTGGCTCCCCCTTTGCATGAATGTAGGAACAGTCTAGCTCACCCGCATCCACTAAACACACTTGGTACATGCACAAGTTTAGGTCAAATTAAGAACCCTACCCCCGTTTCTAGCTTTACTAAAAATAAAAATGCCTTAGCCTATAGCACATCCATTACTCCAACGCTCAATTCTTCACCGAAAACAGCACACACTAACTCGATAGACATAGGTGGACATGATGCTGAAACTCTTCTCAACATAGGGTCGTCATGTCAAACAGTACTACTGGGCGCTGAACCACATTCGGGGCTGATTGACGAACTTAAGTACTTCAAATGCTATTTCAAATCTCATCTTTACCTAATCCTCATAAATGCTAGATCCGTTCTAAATAAACTACCGATGCTCAGAGCACTCACAGTAATATACAAACCCCCTATAATTGTCATCACTGAATCCTGGTGTAACTCGAACATACTGGATGAAGAGATAAGCTTAGATAACTATACACACTTTCGGTGTGACAGGGAAGGTGGTAAGGGAGGGGGTTGTCTTATGTACTTTCTGAATGCACTTACTGTATCACAGCTAGAAAGTAGTACACTTAACATGCCTGAGACTTTATGGGTTAACTTACACTTAAATAACGCAATAGTATTAATTGGATGCACCTACAGAGCACCTGGCACCTTTAGTAATTACGAGACCCAACTTATTAATACTCTAGAACAATTATCCACCCTCCACTACGATCATAAGATCCTATGTGGAGACTTTAACTTACCAGAAATCAACTGGGAAATACCCACAGGTCCAACTAAACTTGATAAGTTCTTAGGCACACTGGATATACTTGGCTGGAAGCAGACCGTCACAACCCCTACAAGAGGTAATAACGTACTAGACTTAATCTTCTGCCACAATATAAGTCCCCTTTCTACCCTAGTAGGTTCTGAGTTTTCAGGGAGTGACCACAAAACAGTGCTGTGTGCACTGCCACTTCCGTCAAGTTGCAATGCAACCCATACCCCTACTTCACAACAAATAACTTACAGGAACTATAGTAAGGCAGACTGGACTCTAGTAAAATCAATGCTAAGATCCTCAGAATGGAGTGAGTACTTCTATACTGATAGCCTCTCGAAAGCTCTAGACATCTTTTACTATAACTCCAACACATGCTTAGATGCTGTGATCCCATTTCAAACACTAAAGTTTTCCCCACATAGAAAGACATTCATAAAGCCAAAGGATCGTAGGAAACTGAAAAGACTGTCAACAAGTTACTTCAGGCGACACGACTTTAGTACACTAGGGTCAATACTTAGTACTCTTAGCTCCATCTCGCAAGCTCATAACTTGCGTATGAGAAATGAAGAATGCACGGCACTAGCCAGCACCACCAGAGTAGGTGCTCTCACAGAAATACTAAAGAAACGAATGAATCGCCAAAGCCATAAAATTTCTCTCCTTATAAACAAGGGCAAACTATACAGCAAACATGCAGACATGTGTGAACTGTTTAATGAGACGTTTGCAGCTAACTACCTTAAGCCTACAAGTCCACTTCTCGGTTTACAATCTAAAATAGAACTCCCTTCATCTTCAACGCTGAAACAAATCACTACAGTTCATTTCACTTACTCTAATATTAACCAAGCCGTTAATACTCTTAAAAACTCTAGTAGTGCCGGTTTTGACGGTATACCATCGTATCTTTATAAACACGGTGGTTCTGACATTTCCGTTTTATTACTTAAGATTTTTACAATGTCCCTAGAAAGCCAAACCTATCCAGATAAATGGAAAACGACATTTATAGTACCTAAACACAAATCCGGATCAAAAACTGAAGTCAACAACTATAGGCCAATCAATATTACACCCATAGTATCTAGAATCATTGAACGAATAGTTAAAGATGATATCCTCAAACATATGCTCAGCTGCAATATTCTAAGTCCCAACCAACATGGATTCCTAAAATCCAGATCATGCATGACATGTCACGTTGACTTCTTTAACTACATAACTAGCAGCCGCGACAAACAACAACTAGTACTTGTCATCTACTTCGACATATCCAAAGCCTTTGACCGCGTTGACCACTTGCTTCTAATAAATAAGCTAAACTCTTTAGGAATAAGTAACCCATTATTAGGATGGATTGAATCATTCCTTAACAATAGGTCCCAAGTAGTTAGACTGGGTTCTGTAAACTCTAAACCTAGTCCAGTCACTTCTGGAGTAGTTCAAGGTAGCGTCTTAGGCCCCCTCCTATTCACTCTATATGTCAACGACATATGCAGCTGTTTCTCACTAGGCAAACCATTCATCTTTGCAGATGATCTTAAAGTAGCTTACACATTCCACTGTGATGACTTAGGGTACTTTCAGAAAGCTGTTCAGGAAGAACTAGATCGAGTAACTGCATGGTCCTCCACATGGAACCTAAAATTCAACCTTAAAAAATGTGGTTGGATATGCTTCGGTGCACCCTCAATAAATATTAAACTGGTACTTGAATCCATCGACTTGCCTAAACTCCAAAGTGTTGTTGACCTAGGACTCAGGTACTCTAGTGACTTGACATTTTCCGAGCAAGTGGCGACACAGACGCGTAAATCGAGGATGCTTCTAGGATGCATACTCAGGAATTTCCACAACTACGAAGCGAAGCTATTATTATATAAAACTTGTGTCAGACCACTACTTGAATATTGTCCATTTATTCTCAGCAGCACTCGCGTAAGTGACAAACTTAAAATAGAAAGTGTCCAACGATACTTCACGTCTAAACTACTAGGATTTGACTGCGAAAAGGACTACACATCAAGGTGTATAACTCTAGGTATCGACCCACTCTGGATGAGACGACTGAGCATTAACCTAACATTCTTCTTTAAAATATTGCATAAAATATCATTCTCAGACAGCAAAGAGATACAGTTCTCACCGGAAGGCTCTTACAACCTTCGTAACCAAACGTGCAAAGTATCTAGGAAAAACTGTAAAACAGCACTCCGTGCAAACTTCTTCATAGTCATGTACTCTAAGATCTGGAACAGTTTACCCCTAGAAATAAGGACCTGTCACTCTATTATAACCTTCAAACGCTTGCTATATAAACTGCTTCATCCCAATGACTATGCCAATCACACCGCACCACTTATTTCCAAAACGCATGAGCTATTAGCACACTATAACGCCTAGACTCATTACTAAATATTACGACACTAAATAAACTCTAAGACTTCGCAAAATTACATAAAAAACAACAAGATTATGGGTAGTGTTTACTATACAATGATATACATTTATAAACATTTATATGTACATAAAATAATAAAGTTCTTTTCATATTTACATACTTTATCTCCCTGCTGAGCGTAATCTTCTATATACCTCCTGGTTGAGGTCGAACAACCCAACATCCAAACTGAAATGACCATTTATGTAAATTCAAACTCAAATTCCATGAACGATCCGATGCAACCACTTGAAAACGCTGGCTAACATTCTGTACAAGGAGTATTCTTGATCTGAAATAAAGAAGCAACTGGTTTTCAAACAGTTATCAATGTATTACTCAACTTACATGTACAGTCTGCCATGCTGACGCAAATGGCGCAAATGGATAGTTCTAGAATTGACCCCATTTGATGCAGTAAAACAATCTAACATTACCTTATCTAATTTTCGTATCAAAGATCAAATTTCTTTCCTATTATAAAACTACGATAAGACTGCTGACAAAAATGGAATAAATACATTATTGAATCAAAATAATACATCAATAAACTTTATCTCACGGATGCTGTTCACAACAAAGTTTTATAGGAGAATTGACTTCAAGCTTTATTTTTCCCAGATATTTGTATCACACTCATCTGAAGTCTGGGTTTTTTGTTAATGCGAAGACAATATTTCTATATCTCTTTATGTGTTACACAGACAGACTATTTTGCAGACTGTTCTGACTGACTCTAATGTTAGATTGAACAAACAAACTGTAATTTATATAATAACTTATCCATGCCTGTACAATTGGTATGTTCCTGCATAAACAGGAATAAATATATATATAAGCCTTCGGCCCATTTACTGTTCCTCGGTCGATAATCGCGCACATAGACGGCATCACCCTTGCGGTAATACTTCAGACTATTTCTTCGTTGATGTGACGATGGTAACATGGAGTGGTGATGAGTTCGTAGCATTCGACCCATTAGAAGTTCTGCAGGGCTTTACTTCTGTTCTGCCAGTGGTGTAGTTCGGTATACAAAAAGAAAGTTTTGTATTGCTTCCGGTTTCGCCCCTCCCCCTGCTTTCAACAACGCTCGTTTGAAAGTGTCGACAAATCTTTCTGCCTGACCGTTGGATTGAGGGTGATAAGGTGGCGTCCGCACGTGTTTTATACCGTTTCTCTTGCAAAATTCCTGGAACACTTGTGAGGTGAACTGACTGCCGTTGTCAGATACGATGATTTCTGGTATACCGTGACATGCGAAGATCTTTTCCAGGACTGATACTGTTCTGCTGCTAGAAGGTGGTGTCACTTGTACTACCTCCGGCCATTTTGAGTAAGAGTCCACGAGGACCAAGTAGTATATACCTTCTATCGGCCCAGCAAAATCTACATGTAGGCGGGACCATGGTTTTGACGTGGGCCATGCTCTCGGTGGCGGATCTTTGGCTGCCATGACAGACATCACTTTCAGTTTTTGAGCAGAGCCTCTCTTACTGGAGCTAACAGTTGCTACTTTGTTGCTACCAGACATCGAAGCACTTTTGGCGCAGCCATACTCACTATGACGATTCGAAGTTGGTTTTTCATTAATCACGACATTCTTTATACTGGGTTTAGGTCTAATATATCTGTTTCTCATTTCTGGCTTTCTTGTTGAGGGCTCAATACTTTCGATCTTATGGCATACACTGCTTAACGGAATCTCTGACAGGTACAGCTTCTCGAACCAGTCTAAACCCAAGAGGTCAAGGTTTGAATTGTTGATGTAGCATGTGCCGACGAAATGATTGTCGCGAAAACCAACGCTGCATTTAATTTCTCCATTCAATCGAAGTCTTCCACCACATGCACTAATTGCTATCTGATTTGTCTTCTCTATGGCAGGGCATCCCAACTTCTGCCACAATTTCTTTGATATTATTGTAATATCGGATGCTGTGTCGATTTGTAGGCGTGCCGGCCGTGTATTAATCGTCAGATTGATATATTTGCGAGGTGCTGGAGTACTAATATGATATGTGGCAGTAACACCCAAAGACTTGAGCTTGTTGCGCCGTCTGGGTCGGTTGTTGCGTTTGCAGTAGCCATCTTTGTGACCAACAGTATGGCATCGGCGGCATTTATGCTGTTTGAATGGGCACAAGTTTGCAAAATGCCAGGAACCACAGTGCCAGCAGGCTGATGGTGGTTTATGCTGAGGATGACGCGGTGCGGTTGATGTCGACGGTACTGGATGCACCGCATGCACTTCTGCTGCATTTTGGCTACTAGACTGCACCAAGGCGGTATCGTTATGAATGTTGATTAAACGCTGATATTCTTCACCGACGTCTTTCAAAGTCATTCGTGGATCTTGTTCCAGACGATCTAATAGACGTGTGCGTATATCAGCAAATTTGGGAGACTGCAAACCACAAATGAAAATCAATACCTTGAACTGGTCTTCTGAGAGCGATTTCAATTTAAAACGTTCACACGTGCGATTGACTATACCCAACTGAGTATGGATATCATCATTTTCGTTCAGAGATAGTTTCATGCAATGATATCGAATGTTGAATAACGATCTCTGATCACCAAACTGATGACGAAGGGTATGGACAGTTTCATCGAATGATCTTTCATTGGGCTTCTGTGGCAGAATTAAGTTGCAGTATTTATCTAGCTCATCTGCTCCCAATTTACGAAGAAGAAGCCGTACTTTCCAGGCATCATCTTTGTCCGCAAAGTCTACTCGAAATAGGTCTTCATATCTGCGAAACCAGGTATCAAAAGTCACGTTCGCATCTGGATCATAAACGAATTCTGAGATGCTGCTACCAATGCTGTCGTTGGCTGAAGATGAATTGGCAGAGCGTGATATCTGTAGACCAGCAAGCATTTCCATCAATTTTAGCTGCTGTTCCATTAGTTTCTCTAAACGCAGTGGGTCCATCTTCAGCAAACCCGTTGCCAAATTTGTTATGTATGTGAATATGAGGACCTTGTAGACTACGAGCGAATCTAACTAATGCGCTGGCTAATCTGTCCTAATCGCACGTCAACAACAACAACAATACCGCCGGGCACGCAAGACAAAGGAAAAAAAGACTGGACGTTGATACGAGAGCTTTTACTGTCTCTAACAGCAGTCAAAATGTTAAACAACAACTCCGTATTTATACAGTTAGGAAAATCAATGTCACATTTTAAAAATATTAACAAACCATGGGAATTCAGTAATTAAAATCAATAATCACGTAGATTCGTGAAATCAATGATTATGCTAGTGTGTGAAATAAATAATGAATATTAATGATTCACCTGTGTATATATTACACACTTCTTATGTATGAGGATCCAACGGCACCGTTGAGTATCTCAGTGGATGCATCAGACACTGCAATCGGCGCACTTCTGCAACAGCTAGTTAACAACGAGTGGCAACCACTCGCCTTTTTCTCGAGGCGCCTTCAATTAGCTGAATCGAAGTACAACACATTCGGAAGAGAACTTCTAGCTATGTACTGTGCTATACGTCATTTTCGACATTCAGTTGATGGTCGTGAATTCATCATTTTCACTGACCACAAACCTCTGACGTACTCTCTGAACTCAACTTCAGATAAGTATTCACCCCGGGAATCACGACAACTGGATTACGTTTCACAATTTATATTGGATATTCGCCATGTATCCGGAGTGAACAATACTGTGGCAGATGCCTTGTCACGTATTTGTTCCTTCACCCAAATCGACGGCATGGACCTTGTAAAACTGGCTCGTCTTCAAAAAGAAGATTCCGAGCTTTAGCGTGAGTTGTCGAAAACAACTCTACAATTAGCCGAGAAACCCTTAGGTATAGGAAAGGATACTATTCTCTGTGACATTTCCACTAGTACTCCTCACCCTATCGTGCCTAAAAGTTATCGCCGTAACGTCTTCAATACACTGCATGGCTTACCACACCTAGGTATTCGAACTACCGTCAAGCTCGTAACTAGTCGGTTTTGTTGGCCTGGTATTAATAAGAAAGTAAGGGAATGGGCACAGACGTGCTTAGCTTGCCAAAAGTGCAAGGTAATAAGACACACCAAAAGCCCCCTTGGCACCTTTCTTCTCCCCGATGCTCGTTTCGAACACGTCCACATTTAGTTGGCCCCCTTCCAGAATCTCATGGATATGCCTATATGTTAACCTGCATCGATCGCTTCACACGATGGCCTGAAGCAGTATCCATCAAGGACATATCTGCTGAAACCGTCGCACGCGTCTTCGTAGAAAGATGGATCGCAAGATTTGGATGCCCATCTTCCATAACAACTGACCGCGGGCGGCAATTCGAAAGCGGTTTATTCTTCGCTTTAACTAAAATTCTTGGTTGCATGCGTTTTCGAACAACAGCCTACCATCCTCAAGCTAATGGTATGGTAGAACGTCTACACAGACAGTTGAAAGCTGGTTTATCAGCTGCAAATAACACCCATTGGACTGAATCCCTTCCGTTAGTTCTCCTAGGGATACGAAACGCTTTAAAAACCGATGCTGGTTGTACTACCGCCGAATTAGTATATGGCACGACACTACAACTGCCAGGTGAGTTTGCTTCTCCCTCGAGCTTCCCACCAGTGGTAGATCACACCTCATAAGTCAGTAGGCTTACAAACGCAATGCGTTCAGTTAAACCTGCTCCCCTCCGACCACAGTCCATAGATGTATTCGTCCACCCCTGTTTAAAAACTTCTCCACACGTATTTGTTCGTCCCGACTCTGTGCGTCGCCCTCTAGAACCCCCGTATGACGGACCATATAAAGTAATCAAACGTATGGATAAATTCTTCGTCTTAGACAAGAAAGGCCACGAAGACACCTTCAGTATCGACCGTCTGAAACCAGCTTACTTGGAAGGTAATCCTATTAGCCTAGAGCTAAACGTACCCGATAATCCACAAGTAATTGAATCTCCTTCAGTCTTCGAAGAACTCCCTAGCACGGCGAAAGCCACCGAAACTTCGGTCGATCACTCTAAGAAAACACGTTCTGGACGTCACGTTAGATTCCCAGAATACCTTCACACCTATTTCACATAACTGAGTGGTGCGTTTCACCCAACTCATTATTTCTCTTCAGACACATCAATTTTTTTATTTAGCATCACTTAACACAAGTAACCAATTTTTTCCCATAACCGTACATTAACCATGCACTTGGAAAAAAATTAAAAATTAGACGTATATTTTTTTCCCGATATTTTGAACTTTACATTATTTTACTATATAGTAGATGCACGTCATTTTTTTGTAAAAAAAACGCTTAATTGGTACATTTTCCTTGACAAGGTTCTCAGCATTCTTGTTTTCTTTTCCAGGTGCAACGGGCACTGGACATGAAACAAACGAAGCACGCGATCCAACGAACAACATTGAGGAAGCTATGTACAGACACCCTATTAGCATAGGCAGACAGACCAGTAGGCTCTCCAGCAAGCCGTTTGGAAGATTTTTTCACCCATCAGGGAACCATCCAGATTTTTTTGCTTCCGGTTGGTCATGTCTTAGGGTCCTCACAAACCCACTAGGGGGGGAGTGAGCTGTAGCGGTAAATAATTCCCCAAAATTATTAACCACAGCAATCATC